TGGTGGGTAGGTCGGTGGATGGACGGATGGATGGGTGGGTGGATGGGTAGCTGGATGGGTGGGTGGATGGGAGGTAGGTCAGTGGGTGGATGGGTGGGTGGGTAGGTAGGTGAGTGGGTGGATGGATGGATGGGTGGGTAGGTGGGTCCGTGGATGGATGGGTAGCTGGGTTGGTGGGTAGGTCAGTGGATGGACGGATGGATGGGTGGGTGGATGGGTAGCTGGGTGGGTGGGTGGATGGGAGGTAGGTCAGTGGGTGGATGGGTGGGTGGGTAGGTAGCTGGGTCGGTGGGTGGATGGGTAGATGGGTTGGTGGGTGGGTGGGTGGATGGGTCCGGTAGGTAGGTCGGTGGGTGGGTGGATGGATGGGTAGGTAGGTCGGTGGGTGGATGGATGGGTGGGTGGGTAGGTAGGTGAGTGGGTGGATGGATGGATGGGTGGGTAGGTGGGTCCGTGGATGGATGGGTAGCTGGGTTGGTGGGTAGGTCGGTGGATGGACGGATGGATGGGTGGGTGGATGGGTAGCTGGATGGGTGGGTGGATGGGAGGTAGGTCAGTGGGTGGATGGGTGGGTGGGTAGGTAGCTGGGTCGGTGGGTAGGTCGGTGGGTGGATGAGTAGATGGGTGGATGGGTAGGTAGGTAGGTCGGTTGGTGGACGGATGGATGGGTGGGTAGGTAGGTGGGTGGGTGGATGGATGGGTGGGTGGGTAGGTAGATTAGTGGGTGGACGGATGGATGGGTGGGTGGGTAGGTGGATGGATGGGTGGGTGGGTAGGTGGGTGGATGGGTGGGTAGATGGGTGGGTGGGTAGGTAGATTAGTGGGTGTACGGATGGATGGGTGGGTAGGTAGCTGGGTCGGTCGGTCGGTGGGTGGATGGGTAGCTGGGTGGGTGGATAGGTCGGTGGATGGACGGACAGATGGAAGTTATGTGGAGGGGGCAGCAGGTACCTGGCTGTAGGGAAGAGGCTGGGGGTGGATAGGAAGAGGTGGGGAGCACAGGGCTGGGTAGTTGGGGAGCGTGGGGGGCTGTGGCTGGGGCGTACCACTCCCTGGCCCTTGGGCTCACCCCACTTCCCCCCCCCACGCTGCCCGCAGCATGGCCTGGCTCTCGTTCACGCTCTGCATGTCGGCCGCGGTGCTGACCCTCAACACCTACACCAAGACCCTGCTGGAGTTCCAGCACCGCCGGCGGATCTGCGAGCAGCAGAGCCAGCGCGGGCCGCGCTCCCCCGGCCTGGCGCCCGAATTCCAGCGCTTCCTGTGGGACAAGTACGTCTTCAGCGTCAGTGACTCGCTGGACTTCTCCCCTGGCCGCTCCCGCCCCACCGCTGGGGGGCGCAAGGGCCGCGGGGGGGGCTACGCCGGCCTGGCCGGGGGGCGCTGCGGGGATGCCGGCGACCCAGACGATGGCGAACCCTGCTAGGGGGTGGGGGGAATCGACCCACACAATTCCCCTCCCCCATTCATGCCCCCTTCCTCCTCCCCAATCCATGTCCCTTTCCCTCCTCCCACAATCCCCTCCCCAAAGGGGAAACTGGGCAGGTGGTGCAGGGCAAGGCAGCCCCAGGGTCAGAGACCCTTAGTGGGGATGGCGGGTGGCGAAGGCCGGGGAAGCCTGAGGGTCAGAGACCTCTAGTGGGGACAGGGCGGTGCAGGCTGGGGAAGCCCCAGGGTCACAGGCCGGGGCAGCCCCAGGGTCAGAGACCCCTAGTGGCGGTGGGGACGCCGGGCGGCGCAGACCAGGGAAGCCCCAGGGTCAGAGACCCCTAGTGGGGACGCCGGGCGGCTAGGCCGGGGCAGCCCCAGGGTCAGAGAACCCTAGTGGGGACGCCGGGCGGCACAGGGCAAGGCAGCCCTAGGGTCAGAGACCCCTAGTGGGGACGCCGGGTGGTGCAGACCGGGGAAGCCCCAGGGTACCTTTGGTCCCAGCAGCTTCAGTCCAGAACCGGGAGTGATCCTGGTTCCAGCCTCGGGCCCCACAGCAGGAACCGAGCGGGGGAGACTCAGCCTGGTGGTGCCAGCGAGGGGCTCACACGGGGGCGGGGGGATGTAATGACCAGAAGCTGGAGTTGGGGAGCGAGGCATCTCCGGGCCGCCCAGGGGCCATCACTGGGGGGGGGGGGCAACAAGGGGGAGAAATGGCCCTCTGGGTCCTGCTGATGTCACCCCCCCCAGGAATTCCTGTGGGGTCACCGTGACATCGAGTGGCTATGTGGGGAGCAGGCATAGCTGTGCCGGTGCCCCTCACTCCCGACCCGCAGCTCCCTGCTAGCCCAGCCCTGGGCTTCCCCCCCACCAGCTCTGCCAGTGCCCCTCACTCCCGACCTGCAGCCCCTGTTAGCCCAGCCCTGGTGCCCCTCAAGCCCCAAACACCCCCCACCCCCAGGTCTCCTGATGCATGTGGGAAGGGTGTATAATTGCTGCTTGGTTCTGATACAGCAGCTCCCATCTGGGGAGATCAGAGGTCGTAACACTCCGTGTGATTAAAGAAATTAAGAATTAATTAGTACCAGCCTGTTTTTTCCGGCGAGAGCGGAGGGGGGAAGCGGGCGCTGTGCCAGCCTGGAGTCGGGAGCTACGCGGCAAAGGCGGCCACCAGGGCCTTTTCCAGCAGCCTGGCAGCCTCTTGGGGGCAACACCTCAGCCCCTCGCTCCCTGCTGCTCCTGGGTGCATTGTCCTGCCCCACTCTGGAGAGCGATGGGGCCAAACGCTGCAGGAGCAAAGGGACTTCTCGCCTCACCTTGGGGGTGCTGGGGGGCTCAGGTTTCAGTTCTGGGGTGGTTGAGTGGCAGGCTCCAGCCGTGGGGCTCCGGGCACCGACCCACCGCTCTGGGCTCCGTCCACGCTCTCTGGCCCCTGTCTGTGTAGCGGTGGGACTCACCCCCCCCATCACCCCTGGCCCCTACTGCCTCCCCCTCCGACCACCCCCATCCACGGCTTCATTTGTCCTGGGGCTTGCTGAGAAAAGTGATATTAACAAAGATACAAAGATCACTTTTTGCAGCATTATTTTTATTATTGAGTCTGCAAAAAGCAAAACAACCCAATCCCCACCCCCACCCAACAAAACAACCCTCCCACCCCCACCCTACATAAATAAAGGACAATGATTTGGACGGGTACATGTGCATATTGGTTTGTGTTTCCTAAAGTTCACTATTTTAGGGGAAAGAGTCAGTGCGGCCCCCAGTGAGAGAACCCAGGAGTCCTGGCTCCCAGCCCCCACCCCGCTGTAACCACTAGACCCCACTTCCCTCCCAGAGCCAGGGAGAGAACCCAGGAGTCCGAGCGCTGGGGCGGGAAGGCGGGAGCTCCGGGAGGAGGAGCGAGGGGTGGGGAAAACGGAAACCGCTTCCTCATTCAAAAGTCCCCTCGGCCAATGGGAGCGGCCGGGGCTTCCTGCCCCTCCCATTTGGGGTGGAAAGAGGCGAAATCGGAAGCGAGCGGCTGGTTGGAGGATTCGGAGCTGGGCCGGGCCAGAGGTTCCCGGGATGGACCCCGAGAGGCCGGGATCTGCGCCCCTGCCCTGCACCCTGCAGCCATCGAGCGAGCCAGGTACAGGCCGGACCCTGATCTCAGCCCCCCGGGCTCGATCCGGAGTCATTCCTGACTGCACTGGGGGCAGGGCTGGGTTCTGATCTCTGCGCCCCCCGGGCTCGATCCGGAGTCACCCCCGACTGCACTGGAGGGAGGGCTGGGTTCTGATCTCTGCCGACCCCCGGGCTCGAACCGGAGTCACCCCCGACTGCACTGGGGGCAGGGCTGGGTTCTGATCTCTGTGCCCCCCGGGCTTGATCCGGAGTCACCCCTGACTGCACTGGGGGCAGGGCTGGGTTCTGATCTCAGTCCCCCGGGGTCAATCCGGAGTCACCTCCGACTGCACTGGGGGCAGGGACAGGTTCTGATCTCAGCCCACCCACGGTCAATCTGGAGTCACTCCTGGGTGCAGGGGGTTACATGGATATAGTTTAGGGTTAGTTGCTCTCTCTGGTCTGTTTTTAATTGCTACTCACTGAAAATAATGTTTTAGACTTTGGAGTCTGAATGTGTATCCTGGGGTGGGGATCAGGCTTCCTGTGTATTCTGGGAGGGTGGGGGGCGGCCGTGAGGCTGGGGCCCCTTGTGTATTCCCTCCCCCCGAAGATGGGAAGAATCCTGCTGAAACCTTCAGGGTTTTTTTCCACATCTTCCCCCAGCTGGGGATAGAACCCAGGAGTCCTGGCTCCCAGCTACCTCGACTCGACTCCTCTCCCAGAGCCACCTTGGGGCCAGCCCTGCCTGCCAGGGGAGAGCGCTCCCTGTTGAGCCCCCACCCTGCTTCCTCTAGCTCCGGGCCCCTTAGTGCCATGCTGGGACACTGGGGTCAGCACCGGCTGCGAGGGGAGATCGGAGAAACCCAGGAGTCCTGCACTCAGCTAGGACAAGCTTTTGCCTTATTAGGGTGGTGCGGGCCTCTCTGGGCTCACAGAGGTTCTTGCTTCTCACATGCAGGCTTTGTGCCGCTTCCCTTCTTCCTCCGGCACGACTCCCCAATGTCCTGGGACCTCTGCGCCCATATCCCGGCTGCCGAGAGCCTGGACTCGTGGGAGAGCAGCTTGCTGTGGGATGGAGGGTCTCTGGTCATCGCCAATTCTTCCCAGGGGCAGCCGGGGACGCCAGGGGGAGGTAAGGAGGGATTGAACTTGGGATCTTTAGCACCAAGAGCACAGGGCTTTGCCACTGGAGCTAAAGGAGGAGGTCTAGCAGCCCCTAGCAGTAGGAGGCTGTTATCCTGGCAGCAAAGGGGCATGTGATGCATTTGGCCACAGACAGCACTGTACACACCAATTACCAAGCTCAACCAGTTTTGAGCACACGTTAGGACAATATGTTACTACTTTAATTAAGCATAAAAAGGAAATAAGGCCGACAGAGCAGGGCAGCGTGACGATAAATTATTCAGCCTTAGGGCACAGGTAGCTGGTGCTGTTGGTATTAGATGGAAGCCGGTCCAATCTGGTGTAAGTCTTATGTTGATTTATTCCCCTTTGGTCAAACCCACCGTTTTTATCCCCCGTGTCTTGTGACATGAGGCAGGCGCAGATCACTGAAACGGCTGTCTCCACCAACGTATCTTAAATATAATTCCATACATGCCAGCGTAAAATTCTTTGAACGGCTGCGTTTTTTCCCTTAGTTGGCTAAACCGTTGCTTGGTACCTTTTTTATTTATTTTCACTATTACGATTCGTCTTAATGAACGCTGGGTTTTCATTGCGTTCATGTGTCTTCCTGCGTCTTACGACAGGTTGTGTTGGCTTTTCCTCTTGGCGTCGCTGCGTGTCCAGCGTGTTTCGTGCTCCCTCGTCTGTTTTACCAAGGAGGTGGAGGTCTGGCTAGTGAATCCCCCATTTGGCTTTTGCCCTGTTATCTCTGCAGGCCAAGGTGACACAAACCAACTTTCTGATTTGTATTTTTGTTACAAGTTTTGAAAGCTGAAAAATTCCCTTTGGTGTTTTCTTAGAACACTGTTAAATAGAGAAGAGTTACATTTTCCACATTATTTAATAGAGTTCATTACACGTCTCTTTCCCCCCCTCTCTTTCTCCTTTTCCCTTTTTTTTGTCTCTGTTTTTTCTCCTCTTTTTCCCCCCTCCTTTCTCTAACCTTCCCTCTTTTCGCTTCCCAGCTGGCTCCATCTCCCCACAGCCACCTCTGGATCTCTCCGGGTTTCCTTTGGCCGAGCCCTGGGACGTCCTCTCGCCGGATGCCCCCGCTGACGCAGCCCCCGATTTCGTTCACCCCCTGGTGACGGCTGTTCACCTGGATCCTGGTGCGCCGTGGTTGATGTCAAGGATAAATCCAGGTGACGTCTGGGGTGGGGGATCGCTGCTTTTGCCTGCCCTGGGGAATTGTGGGTAGCTGGGATCCTGGTGTTGTGTGTCTCTGGGTCTCGGCCTGGGCTGGATCAGACACAGAGGCTAAGTTCCCACCGCTCCTCTGTAGGGAGGCAGATGGTGTCCCAGTGCATGCTCTGAAATTCTGGCCAACTGTATGTTAGCCTTGTCCGTACCCTACTGCCTAGCCATGTCTGCCCCCGTGCATGCTGGGAAAACCTGGCCAATGGCCTGTCCATATCCTACCACCCAGCCATCTCTGCCCCAGAGCATGCAGGGAAAATGTGGCCAATGGCCTGTCCAAACTCTACCACCCAGCCATCTCTGCCCCAGGGCATGCAGGGAAAATTGCCAATGGCCTGTCCAAACTCTACCACCCAGCCATCACTGCCATGGAAGATTTGGACAGAAACGACTGTTTTTGGTTTTTTTCTCTTGGATAAAAGTGACTCGTTCTCATTTTTTACAAAAATGACTGTTTTTTTCTGTTGTTTTGTTGCCAAAATGACTCTTTCTTTTACCTTTGAGTTTTCTATTTTTTCTTGTTGTTGCTCTTCTCTTATCTCCTTCCTTTCTTCTGTTTCTTTTCTTTTTTTTACCACCTTCCCCCCTCTTCTCTTTCCAGCTGGATCTACCCCCACTCCACCACTTCTGGATCCCGCTGGTTTTCCTTCGCCCGAGCTCTGGACCGGGCCCCACATGGACGCCCCTCCTGACGCAGCTCCCGATCCTGCTCTGCCCCCCGTGGCTGCTGCCTGCCTGGATCCCGCAGACGTACCCCCGACATCAATGACAAATCCAGGTGAGGCCCCAGGGGAAGGTAGGCGCTGCCCAACCTGGAGGACTCTGGGTAGTTAGGATCCTGCATGTTATGAGTTGCTGATTCTCGGTCCGGTTAGAACAGGCTGAGCAGAGAGGCCGAGGGCTGGACCGGATCCAGAGGCTGCTCCCTCCATGCCCCTCCCTAAGGAGGCAGGCGCTGCCCCAGTGCACCCCGGGAAAACCGGGCCAACGGCCTGTCCATGTCCTACCGCCCAGCCGTCTCTGCCCCAGTGCATGCTGGGAAAACCTGGCCAATGGTCTGTCTGTATCCTGCTACCCAGTATCTCTCATGGCGTCTCTGTCTTGCCAGACGTCACAGACCCCCTGCCGCTACTCTGCAGCACCCTGGGCTACTTCCCCAATGGTCTGCGGGTCTTCAGCCTGCAGAAGGCCATGTGGCTGAGGCACGGGGTGAACCTGGAGGCATTCAGCCAGCAACAGGGATATCTGAGCACCCTGGACTATCTGACCAGGCTGCGTGGGATCAGGCTACAGGGCTGGAGAGAGGGGACAAGTGTCTCTTTAAGCTTCTAAAAGATGAGGCGAGAGGGATGGGGCTCCATGCGTCAGGGCTGAACTGGTCTTGATTAAGGATGAGGACCAATGGGTATCCTGCACCTTCCTCTGAGGCTCATTAGAGTGTATTGTCTTGGGCTGACCCAGGACACTTTCTGGGCTTAACCGAGGTGTCCTGGGTGAATTGCTACCACCTGGTGGCAGGATGAGGGACTCTTGTCTGTGATGTAGTTAGGTCGACACGGTGTCAGTGTAGACGCCGGGTTGCTCACGTCATGTTACCGGCTTTCAGGTAGGGTGACCAGATGTCCCGATTTTATAGGGACAGTCCTGATATTTAGGAATTTTTCTTATATCGGTACCTATTACCCCCCACCCCCGTCCCGATTTTTCACACTTTCTATCTGGTCACCCTACTTTCAGGAGCTGTCCCACTATGCCCCACGCCGACAGTACAATGGACGCAAGTTTTCCTGACCGGGACGCGCACTGCTGACACAGCTGTGTGCTGACAGAATTACGTCATGTAGACGTGGCCTTAGAGGCATCTAGAGTCAAACCAAATTGAAGTTTATTTAACGGCGCTTGAGACCGATTCAAAGAAGGGTTGGCCAACATAAGGTTGCAGGGGAAAGTAAAACAGAACACGCCATCTTCAGCTTCTAGTTTATTAACAAGTTCCTTCCCTCTCTACTGAGGTATTTCTCACCCAAAGGTCGGTCCATACAACGCTTGTCCGGCTCGGAGAGCTGGGATTTCATGAGGCACTCATGCTGGCAAAATATCTCCTCTGGAACGATACCATCTTGTGCCCATTTCTTCTTCTCTTGTAGGATGGGGTGTGTCTACGTTTGAAACTCTACAATGCTTCAGGGAGGTGTCCTCACACCCCTGAGCTATGCAGTTAAGCGGACAGTTTTCTAGCCCTACAGTCTCATTCATTATCTTTTCATTTCATTATCTTCAGCTCAGCCCAGAGGGTCCCCTATTCAGAGTCTTTTCTTGGGGGTTCTTTTCTTTGTAAACGCTTAGGTGCGTACCTGCTCCAGCCTGTAAACCCAGCAGGGCTGGGTGGAAAGATACTTGATTGTTCTCATTCTCAACTGAGTTAGCCGAGACCCGCCCTGCCTCGGGGGACATGCTTCATCTCCAGCAGTTTCAGAACACAATATCCTACGTTTTAGGTATCACTTAAACTCCTTCCTGTACAAACACCTCACGCTAGCCACAAGGATCGGCCAGCCCTTAGCTTTCAGCCCCCTTCGGTGACGTCTCAGGAGGGTGGCCAGACGCAGGTGTAATATACCTGTCTGGGCACGTCCGCGTCACGCTCCCCAGCGACGTGGCATCTCCCACAGTGCAGCCCCCTATCCCCAAGAGTGGGGACCCTGGTGCACTGTGGGAGATGCAGTCCGATCAGGGAGGCTCTGCTGTAGGGTAGAATCGGGGGGGCATAACGCACCCCGGCGACTTTTCTGAATGGAAACATTTTGGTTTTTTAATGAAAACTTGAAATTTTCCATGGAAGATTTGGACAGAAACGACTGGCTTTAGTCTTTTTCTCTTGGGTAAAAGTGACTCCTTCTGATTTTTTACAAAAATGATTTTTTTTCCTGTTGTTATTTGCCAAAATGACTCTTTTTACCCTTGAGTTTTCTCTTTTGTTGTTGTTGTTTCTCTTCTCTTTTATTTCCTTCCTTCCTTCCTTCCTTCCTTCTGTTTCTGTCTTTCTTTTTTTACCACCTTCCCCCCTCTTCTCTTCCCAGCTGGATCTACTCCCACTCCACCACCTCTGGATTCTGCTGGTTTTCCTTCGCCCGAGCTCTGGACCGGGCCCCACATGGACGCCCCTCCTGATGCAGCCCCCGATCCCGCTCTGCCCCCCGTGGCTACTGCCTGCCTGGATCCCGCAGACGTACCCCCGACATCAATGACAAATCCAGGTGAGGCCCCAGGGGAAGGTAGGCGCTGCCCACCCTGGAGGACTCTGGGTAGTTAGGATCCTGCATGTTATGAGTTGCTGATTCTCGGTCCAGTTAGAACAGGTTCAGCAGAGAGGCCGAGGGCTGGACCGGATCCAAAGGCTGCTCCCTCCATGCCCCTCCCTAAGGAGGCAGGCGCTGCCCCAGGGCATGCTGGGAAAATGTGGCCAATGGCCTGTCCATACCCTACCACCCAGCCATCAGTGCCATGGTGCATGCTGGGAAAACCTGGCCAATGTCCACACATTGTCTCTCTGGGTGGTGCTCTCCAAGGGAATAGGTTTGGGGTCTTGTGGGCGGGAGGGGCTCCCCTTCCCGTTGCTCAGCACCGCCGTCTCCCTCCCTCCGTGCAGACTTGGGTGAAGTCTTGGCCCACGTCTCTCACACTCTGAGATGCCACCCCAAGGGTATGAGGGTGAAGCCGCTGACGAAGAGGCTGCGGAAGGAGCATGGGGTGGACCTGTTGGCATTCAGCCAGGACGGGGGGTACCAGGGAGTCGTGTCCTTCCTGCAGGAGACGCCGGGTATCGAACTCTGGAACCCCGAGAAGGGAGAGAAGTGTCGTGTCCTGAGCTGTACCTTTAAGAAGAGTGAGTGGGGAGATGGTTTCTTGTAGGGCTGCCCCAGCCCGGCCCCCTTCCTGAATGTGGAGAGAGCCCCTGGCCAATGGCACACTGGCCTCTCCGCACCCAGCTGTGTCTCCCCCAGTGCATGCTGGGGAAACATGGCCCATGGCCTGTCTGTATCCTGCTGCCCAGTATCTCTCATGGTGTCTCTGTCTTGCCAGACGTCACAGACCCCCTGCCGCTGCTCTGCAGCACCCTGGGCTCCTTCCCCAATGGCCTGCGGGTCTTCAGTCTGAGGAAGGCCATGTGGCAGAGGCACGGGGTGAACTTGGAGGAATTCAGCCAGCAACAGGGATATCTGAGCACCCTGGACTATCTGACCAGGCTGCGTGGGATCAGGCTGCAGGGGCTGGAGAGAGGGGAAAAGTGTCTTGTCCAGCTTCAGAAGGGTGAGGAGAGAGGGATGGGGTCCAGGCGTCAGGGCTGAACTGGTCTTAGGTAGGATGAGGGCAGGTTATCCCACTGCTCACACCAATGGACATCCCGCATCTTCCTCTGAGGCCAAATGGACTAGATGGCCCTTTGGGCTTCCTCCCCCATGAGATTTCATCTCCCACAATGCACTGTCCTACTGCCATCATGCACCACCTCCCGCCACCAAGAATAGAGGCTATGGTGCATTGTGGGAGATGTAGTCCGACCAGGGAGCCTGGGCTGTAGAGGAGAATGGCAGTCACAAGGCATCTGAACTACAACTCCCATGAAGCACCGCAGTGACTTTTCTAAATTGAAACAGCTCACTGAAAACTTGAAATTTTCTATGGAAAATCTGGAGCACAGTGAGTCCTTTTTGCCTCATGTTTTCTTGACAAGCACGACCCCCCCCCCTTTTTTTTTTTGACAAAAGCGACTTTTTTCCCTCACTCTTTTTTGACATCAGCCATTTTTCTCTGATTTTTGACAAAAGCGAGGTTTTTTCCCTCCATATTTTTTTTTGACAAAAATGACAGTTTTCCATCTGTTTTCTTGACAAAAGTCACTTTTTTACTTCACATTGTTTGGCAAAAGAGACCTTTTCCCCCCCCTCTTGTTTTTTTTTTTTTGAGAAAAGTCGCTCCTTTTTTCTCACATTGTCTTGACCAAAATTACTTTTTTTCCCCCTTCACGTTTTTTGACACGTGCAATGGTTTTCTCTCGGATTATTAACAAAAGCAATGTTTTCCCACGGTATTTTTTGACAAGAGTCGCTCCTTTCTTCCTCAGCTTTCTTCACAAACGGCGACTTTCAGTTTCCTCGGGCCTGGTCTACCCGTAAAACGTCGGTCGACGGAGCTGCGGCGTTCAGGGGTGTGAACCAACCGCGCTTCTGAGCCCCGCAGCCTCGCCGCCCTGGCCCCGGAGTAGACTTGACTAGGCGGAGGATGAATGTGTCCGTCGATGTGGTTCCCGTTACTCGGGGAGCGGAGTTCCCCCAGCAAACCCCCGTTCCGGTGCTATAATCGGTGCGGCGGGGTTACAGCCCCGCAGACACGGCCCCATGGCTGCGCTGCTCTGACGTCCGTAGTGTAGACGTGGCCTCAGGGTTTTTCGGACAAACTCGAGTTGGTTTTTTTTTCACTCCGATGTTTGACAAAAGCCTCCGTTCCCCACAGTTTTCTTCACCAAAGGGACTCTGTTAGCGCTTTCTGGGGGGACAGAAATATCTCCCCCCCCCCCCTTTCTTCTGTTTGTTTTGCAAACGTGATGCTTTTCTCCTCAGTCTTTTGACCAAAAAATATGGTAGGAAAGGTGGAAGCGGCAGCCGGGCCTGTGCCCATTATGAGGGATAGCCGTGCCCGGGGGGGGGAGCGGGGGGGGGACGGGACAGTGCCCAGTGGTGGAAGCTGTGGGGGGAGGGAACGTGCCCGGTGGCGGGGAGATGGGGGGGGCGGGGCG